CCTGCTCTCCCCCAGCCCCTGAGTGCCACTCCGGACTGAGTTTGGGAGGGATGGGAAGGACCCGAGACCTTCACGCCCTCCCCTGTCCAAGAATTCCCCTGCTCATCCCAAGGAAAAGCTGGGGCTGGCAGCAGATTTCCTTGGGGATGAAGGGGATGGAAGGAGAGCAGGGTGGGGAGGGTGAGGGGCTGGTTCACACCTCACCAGTAAAGAACAGGCAGCAGCCACACGGTGCTGGCAGTGTCCCTGTCCCCACACTCCCCAAAACTCCAGTGTGACAACAGCAGAGGTTGAGGGGAACTTAAAAGTCCAAAAATGGGATCCCCCATTTCCACACTGGGAAACCTCAGAGCCTGCAGGAGTGACACATCTGACCCCCACAAGGGCAATGGGGTTTTTCCCTCCATCTCATCTGGTACCCAAACCCCCAAATTCTCTGCGTGTGCGTGTGTGTGCTTGTGCAGGGCAAAGGGAAAGGGCCAAGCAGAGCAGCAGCCCCCGTTCCTATCACACCCCTTCTCTAATTGCCTCGAGATCAATCTTTGGAATCTCTCTCTCCCTAACCCTCCGTGATTTTTCTCTGAACTGTTGTTGTGTTTCTTTCTGACTCAACATCAGGAAAATGGCTCCCTTTGTCCCTCATGTCTTTGCAATCAATTTGGTGCAACCAGCTCAGTTGGTTGATTTATTTCATGAGGAAATCTTCAGGTTGTTTTTTTTCTTCTTATTTTTTTTTTCCCTGCTTGAATGAAAATGATTTAACAGGGGAAAAAAAAACCCAACAAACCTGGTAATTAAATAAGGGAAAATAACATCACTAGGGTGAATTGCAATGAATAATCCTAGAGAAAAGCCCCAGCAGGGAAACAGCTGGGGTGTCTTTGTGCATAAAGCACAGGCTCGTTGTGGGTTGTGACACAGACCTGTTTACTTGTACAGCTCCCTGCATCCAAACTGGGAAGGAAATGGGGGATTGGCCAAATTCACCTGAATTTTGGGACACTGACCTCTCTCTCTGCCTGCTCAGCTTCCCCACCCACCCTGAGGTACCACAAGATTTGCCATCCAGGCTGAGGGTTTGGAAAAGGGAAAAGCACCAGCTGCTGCCTCTGTTCCCTCCTGGACCACGATCCCTGCCCAGGGAGGTGATGGATGAGGGGATGGATGAGGCACTGACACCCAGCCCCGAGCAGGGTGAAGGTGTTCCCAGGCAGAAACCCAGCCCAGGCACAGCCAGGGGAGCCACACCAGTTCGGGACTGGTGTGAAATGGAACTTTTCCTGCAGAGCAGCAGCTCCCTAGCACCAGGATTGAGGGGAGGAGGCCCATGAGCAGCTTCCCACTGGAGAAAATCCCACTCGCTCTTTGCCAGGTCCCACAGGGGCATTTTCCACCTCCTTAGCACCTCTGATGAAAGGGGGGTGGAGAAGCAGGGGATTTTTCACTGGAGGCAGCCTGAGGTGACCCAGAGAGGTGACCCAGCCCCTGAGCCCACGTGTGGCACTGCAGCCTGACAGAACCTGCCCACTGCAGGAAATTGGGCACAAAGGGACAAGTGACACCATCACCAGAGCAAAGAACAGCCCAGGCTGGCCCTGCTGCTGAGCCCTGCACAGCCCCAGCACATTCCCTCCCTGCAGAAGCCCCCAGCAGCAGGATGAATGTGGTTCTTCACTTTGGCCTCTCTCCTGAGCTCAGCCCTGCACTCAGGTAGGAACAGGTATCACTTTCTGCTTGATGGTGGTGGAAAAACTCATCTAATTCCCTTCAGGGGCCCCCTCAGAGCAGTTTAACCCAGAGAAGGCAGTGATGCTATTACTGGACCAAAACAGCTCTCAGATGAAGCATCAATCTGATTTTCTTCCCCCACACTTCTTTTTTTCTTCCACCTTGCTATGGATTAATGGCTAATCACTTGGCTAATTACCACCCCAAGAGTCCCTTGGCCGTCTAGCTGACCTTGCAAGGGACAGCAAGAAGCAAATGACAGCACAGAGGTGGCATTTCTCCATGGCTGTGGTGATAATTGCACCAGGGGAGCAATGCTGAAGAGCTCAAGGATGAGAGAAATGCAGCACTGAACCCTGAACTCGCAGGGTGCCTCGCTGCTGTGCCAGGCAACGCTGTCTAAGGATCTTCCACTCCAGGTTCTGGATGAAAAATGATCATTTGACCCCTTTTCTGAACCACTCTGAGGAGGTAAGTGGCTGAGCTAAGTCCTACATTTGGGCTGGTGCAAAAAGGGCAGGAGAAAGTGTGGGAATTGTGTACAGGAATTGGAAATTTCACATTGCTCCACTCTCTCCTTTCCTTTCCTTTCCCTGGGTCTCACTGGGTTTTTGAGCCCTCACTCATTGTGTGAATGGGGAATAAATAAGCCAAGGAGGCTACAGCTCCAAAAAATGACACCTTCAAAGGGAAACTAATAACTCCCAAAGCAGATTTCCTTTGAACCTGGAAACAGCCCTGATCTCTCCCAAACCCTTCTGCCCCACTTGCCAGGATTTGCACCTTTGTTCTTTAGGACACAGAGCGTGGGGTCAGTGTGGTGGGAACGTGCCAGACCCGAGGCCTCTGCCTGAATCACTGCTGGGCCTTGCAGATTTTATAAAAGATTGTTTTCTTCCAAAGTCACCTCCCCACGGGGTGTAGCTGCAGGGGGAAATCTGCAGGGCAGGGTCTGTGCCACTGATCTCACTCAGTGCCCAGAGTTTGGTGGTGGAGGCACTGTCACCATCCCGTTCTGAGCATGGCTGTGGCATTCAGATCTACAGGATTACTCACTCAAGAGATGGAATTTGTTGGGAATTCTCCCTGCACCACACACTGTGCAGGCTCTGCCCTGATCCAGATTACAGGCTCTCCCTTTGGGGAAATCAAAGTGTGTGCTGCTCTGCCAAGGCACTGGAGGGAAGTCATTCCCACCACTAATCATCAGCAATCAGAGATTTGGAGAGATGTTAAAAGGTTTGATTTCCTTTATTGGGGGCTTTCTTGCTAACAGGGTGCTCCTGGTGGCATGGACGGAGCTGGGACAGTTCAGCCTAAGGGATCCCGAGGGAATTTCTGCCTGTCCTGGCTCTGTGAGGACACAAAGCAGCCTTCCTGTGGCATGTGGCTGTCATGCCAGAAGCCAGGAAGCCTGAGGGGCTGGCAGGAACAGCAGGGAGATTACAGCCCTACAATTGGATTGCCCACTGCCCTACCCCACTAATGCAATCAGAGCACGCTGGGGATGGCTCAGGCTGAGCTCCCTGTGGTCTGCACCGAGCACCTCACAGGAAAGAAAAGCTTTGGAGGCTGCCTGGACCAGAGATCTGACCTTGACTCATCTGTGTGGCTCTGCCTCTCCACCCTCCTCCCTTTTTGCAGCAGGATAACCGCTGTGGAACAAAACCCAGCGGGTAAGGCAGGAGGAGAATTAGTCCTGCTATTTTTAGATGTGCATGATAATACAGCTCAGAAAACTGGGGATTTCTTTTCAAACAAAAGATTTATTTATACATCAAATTAAAAAAAAAAAATTATAACCCACAAGAAGAAAAATAAGCCCCAACCCAGTGAATCTAATTGGGAGATGGTCGGTGTGAGACAGAGGGCCCTGAAGTCTGGAATCCCATTTATTCACAGAGCAGAGATAGCAGCAATCCAAACCTCCCCAGCACAACACCGGCTCAAGGCAAGGAGGGCGAGATCAATACCCCAGGCTCAATCCCTCCTACCCTGTCTGCCAAGCCTGTGCTCAGGAGAGGGATGTGATATTGGAAAAGTGGCAATCAATGCCAGCTACGTGGTGCAGCCACGGGCTGGGGTTGTTGCTAGGAGAGAGAGAAAAAGAGAGAGAGAGAGAGAGAAAGAGAGAGAAACACCCCCGTGCTCTGACCACAAGAAAAAATAAAGTGTAAACACATGACAATTAAGTCTTAGTGGTATAATAAAATAAAACTCAGGGGCTGGTCCTGCCCTGCCTGGGTGTGCAGAGCAGAGCTGAAGGCAGTGAATGTGTGGAAGCAAAGTGTCCTCAGTTGGTCCCTTCCCCAGTGGATGTGCCCCAGTGAACTGCTCTGTGGCTAGTACCAGCGACAACAACAGCAACAAGAACAAGAAGAGCCAGCCTTTCTCTGAGCCATCACGGGGGCAAAAGTGTCAGCAATAAATACTCCTTTTCTTTCTTTTAAAAGAACACTCAAACAAAGACAGAAAAATGAAAAGCCAAGCAATAATAAATTGTAGGAGGAAAATGGCAGTTTTGTTTCCCTGCTCTGCTATCAGCCCCTGCACCTGGGGTTTGGTCCAGGGCTTTTTTTTCCCCCCTTTCTCCTCATTTTCCTTTTATTGAGTCATTAAAAACTGGGTGTGGTTCTCTCCAGGTGTGCAGCAGGCAATGGGAATGTCACCCAGACCCCACCAAAAAAACAAACAAACAAACAAACGATTAGGGGGGAAAAAAAACCCCCCAAAATCCATTCACCTGATAATGGCACCTATGTTTCCATTGCCATAAAACTCTCCTGGCCTCTGTCCTAGGGACAGCCCACCTGCCCCCCTCCCAAGGTTAAAAAACAAACAGAGAAGACAACATACAAACAAATTTCCAGTGTTTCAGGGGGGTGGGAGTGGGAGGAGGGAAGGGCACTCTGAGACATGAAGACACAAACAGAGTGTAATATACAGGCTGGGCAACAGTCGTTAAAGCAAAGAGTAACACCTAAGCCACCGACCAATACAAACACCACAGAAGGGGACGAAAGTCGTCGAAGAGAGAAATTAAAAAGCCAAACCAAAACCGAGAGAAAATAATTACCCGACCTCCCTCCCTCCCGCACGAGCCCCGCCCCAAACACCCCCCCCCAAAAAAAAAAAAAAAGATCATTAAGCAAAGCTGCCCTCCCTCCCTGCTCGCCTCTGCTGGGAGCATCCAAAAAGTCTGTGCAGGGCAGCCGGGGCGTGTGGAGGGATGCAGGGGAGGGAAGAGCATCGCTCGTGAGCGTGGTCGTGTTTGTGTGTTTGTGTGTGTGTGTGTGTGAGTGTAGCAGAGGGGCGTGGAGCTACACGTACCACTCCTTTTTGGAAATAAAAGACCCGTCGTTCTGCGACACCATGTTCTCGGCCAGGTCGAGCTGCTCGGGGTCGTACTGGAAGCCGAGTGTCCTCTCGTCGTAAGGTTCGGGGTGGGCCTCGCCCTCGTCCACGGTGAAGTAAGGCCTCTTGGCATCCTCCTCGTAGGCTTTGGGGCCGCCCAGCTTGCGCTCTCCTCCCGCATCCTCATCCTCATCCTCGTAGGTGCTGCCGCCCAAGGGGCCCGGCTTCTTCTCGTCGTCCGAGTCGTCGGGGTACTGCAGGTTCTGGGCCATGGGGGGGTGGTGCTGTGGGATGCCAGCCTTGCTGTAGCCGTTGCCGTACACGTGCTTCTTTGTGCTGTAGTCACCCTTGAAGGTGTGACGCCGGCGCCGGAGTACCACAAAGAGCACCACGGCCACCAGCAGGACCAGCGAGACGCCTCCCACTATGCCCCCAATCACCGGTGTGGGGATGTTCGGCTGCACCATGGATTTGTGATCATCGATTGGAGACGGGGTGTAGGGAAATTCTGGGTAGGAAAAGACAGATGGAAGGGGGAACAGTGTCAAACCATGCGGAAACGCGCCCTCCCTCCATGCTCTCATTGCCACTTTGGGGCGGGGGGTGACGGGGTGGGAAGATGAGGGTAAGGAACAGGGAAGGGAAAAAGTGGGGAAAGGGGAAGAGGGGCGTCCTCACAGGGGTCAGCTGTGCCTCAGCGAGGGGAAGGTGCCGTGCCAAGCTGGCCAAGCCTCATGCAGGAGCCCAGCAGGCTGGAAGCTGTGATTTCCCCTCCCCAGCCCTCCGGGCGTGCTCAGATCCCACCTGCCCCGTGTCTTGAGTCCGGATGCCTCCGTTTGACCAGAGAACACAATTCCACTTTCCCAGAGAGCGCTCCTGACAGGGGAGCGAGACCCCAAAGCCCAGCTGAGGGTGGGCACCGAGCTGCTCAGAGGTGCCACTAGCTCTGCATCCCTCTCCTCACATCCCAGCCCCGAGCAGAACCAGTTTGGGGCCAGAAGGCAGCAGCACCTTGTGATCCCCCACGCACCCACAGGTGCCCCGTGGCTGCTCAGAGCCCTGCTGGTTCCTGACCCCCTGTGCTGACCCTGCAGCACAAGGACACAGCCCTCCCACTGCCTCTCCCCCTTCCCTGGCCAGCACAGTGCCACTCCTCCTGCTAATCTTGCTCCTATAGTTACCCTGACCTATTTAAAAAAAAAAAAAAAATAAAAACCTCAAAAAGAAGAAAGAGATGAGAAAGCAGCTCTCTTCTCTTTCATGCAGTACAACACCTACACTTTGGCACAGATAAAGTTTGAGCCAGGACTTCAATCAACCTTGCTGGGCACAGTTACAGCCCCTGGCCGAGCTCAGAGCCTGTTGAACACCCCTGTCCATGAGCCATTAAACACCACGTGGTTGTCTCAGCCCTTCACCTGCCTCCCCATTCAGGCAGCAGGTGCCTGGTTAATGCCCTGTGGCAGCTTTGTCTTTGCACATGAGACTTCTCCCAGTGCTTTTCCCACCCCCAAAGCTTGTCTGCCAACCCTGGAGCCTCCTGGCCTTCATTTTCCCCCCAGCAGCCAAGGAGAGGTGCAGACCCAGCAGCAAACTCAGCATCCCTGAGCACAGCCAGGGTGGGGTGATGGGGAAAGAGGAGCTCAAAGGCAGCAGATTCCAGAGGGATGTGAGACAGTGACTGTGCCCACCCCCTTGGTGGCATAGCTTAGCTCAGCCATGAGTGAGAGGGGAGGACAGAGCTTCCCCCAAGTGAAGGCACAGCAACAGCTGCAGGTTTTGGACAAGGGCATTGAATTCAAGCAATTTCTGGCCTGAGCCATAAATGTTTTGGGGGTTTTTTTTGTGCCTGGAAGATGATTAATTCCTGCCTTTGCTGAAACATCAACCCAGCAACAGTGTCTTGGTTCCTGCAGACTTGCCTGGAGCGAAGCCTCCTGAGGCTGAACCCACACAGAGAGCAGCCCCGTGGGCAGAGTGGGCTGGGGGACAGATGGAGGGTCCCTGCTGCAGCCAGAATGAGGAGCAAGACGTTGTGCAGGCAGGAGCCAGCATTTTTTTCTCCAAAGACAGCCTCGGAGAAGCAGCAAGGGCATGTCTTGCAGCCCAGGGAGCCGGGGTTGGGTTGTGGGAAGCCAAAGCCATGTGTTGCATCAACAGAAGGCCTGTCCCAGGCAGCTGGGTATGGCAGAACCTCTCTGCAGGGACACCAGGGACAGTCACGTCCATCCCCTCGTGGTCCTGCCTGCTGAGGGCTCAGCTTCAACCACACAAAATCCTCACAGTTCCCTCTGCCCCTGCCCAGCCACTCCCGGGGCTGCTCCTGGCTGTCCCAGCCTCTGTGGTGCCCAATTCCCAAAGCTGTGCACGAAGCAGGGGAGCACCTGGAGCATGAGTGGGAGCAGGGGAAGCTCAGCAAGCTGGGCCCAGTCCCCAGGGAAAACTCAATCTTTCATTTTCCCACAGCTCTGAAGCCTCCTCACACCCTGCTGTTCTCTACAGCAAGGCTGACTCTGTGCCCCACAGGTCCCAAAACCCAGCCTGAAATGCCCCAGACGTGGTGAGCAGACCCCTCACACCCCACTGATCCCTCACACCCCACTGATCCCTCACACCCCACTGATCCCTCACACCCCACTGATCCATCTGCCTCCCAGCTCTGGAGAGCAGATCTGACAGGGGAAGTCTGTGCCTGATTTCTAAAGGAGCTTGGCCCACTTTCCTGGTAAAAGCCTCATTAACAGTCCAGCTTAGACACGTGAAGAGAAAAGGGAGGATGTTTTCCTACCTTTCTCAGGAGATTTTTATTTTTTCCCTGCCCTTTGCGCTGCCCACCCTTGATGTAGCACTTGCCACCCCCTGGCACTGCCAGTGCTGTGGACATGAGCAGGAACACATCCATCCATCCATCCATCCATCCATCCATCCATCCATCCATCCATCCATCCATCCTTGCATCCCTCCATCCATCCCTCCATCCATCCCTCCATCCATCCCTGGAGGATTTCACACCTCGCTCATGCAAGGAACTATTTTTTTCCCCTCATCCCATCCCCATCCTCCTCACCATGGCCCCGTTCCCATGCCAGAGAAAACAAACCCAGACTGTGGGAAGGGAGAAAGAAAGAAAGAAAGAAGATGGGGGAATATCACACAGCAGCCCCAAATCACCCAGAGAGCTTCCTCCCTCCTCATCCTCCCTCCAGAGCTGGGACAGGGGGGGCTCTGGGGGGGTGTGGGTGACCCTGGGGTGGGCTCAGTGTCCGGGGACAAGGGGGTCTGGCCACTCCAGAGCCCGGCACTGCCACTGGATGGCGGCACAGCCCAGCGCTGGCTCCGGAGCAGGGTGGGACTGCTGCCACCCTCGAGGACTGTCGCTGGTGTTCCCTGTGACAAGGTGTCTCGGCTCTGGCAGGTGGTGAGCAGGGACCAGCGTGTCACCTGTGCCTCCATCCAGGTCCGTTAACCACCAGGACATCTGCCAATCCCACCCAATGGGATCCACCCCTCTGCCCACCCCAAACAGAGCCAGCACCAAGGAGAGAGGGGGAAGTGTGGGAAAAGGATCCCCTTTTTTTTGTGTCCGAGGGGGGCGTGAAATTTCTGGGAACCGGTGTGATGCCTGAGCGTGCTCGGGGGCCCCATGTGAAAAATCCATTAGGAAGAGTCTGGAGAGAATTAAAGCGGCTGTGAAAAGCAGCCTGGAGAAACAGGAGACAGCGGAGCCGAGGGAGGGGGAACAAGCCAGGCTTTAATGCCAGCATGAAAAGCCTCCCCCCGCCTGCCACCCCCCAGCCCTTATAAAAAGAGGGAGTGCTGTATGAATAGGAATTAAAGCAGCAATACTATCTGCCCGTGCCCGGCTCTGCCAGCTGTTGCATTCAGCCCAGCTTCCTGTCCCTGTGCCAGCAGCCAGACCTCTGGGACAGCAGCTGGGAGAGCAGGGGGACAGGAGGTCACCCTGGGCTCAGCCTGGCACCTGGCCCAGCCCACAGGTTCTCTTTGATCCCTTTGCAAGGCTCCAGGCACCTCCTGCCCTCTTCCTGCAGCACCCCAGGGCTCAACAGTGAGGCCACAAACTTCCCCCAAACTTTCCTCATCACAAGAGTGGCTTCAAAAGTACAGGTTTGAAAAAAATCCCATCTTTCTCTTAATGGCTGTTTTTCAATAAAAATGAGGTGCATGCAAATCATCCCACCTGTCCATCAATCCTTTATCTGCTGCTTTTTTGAGCCTGCTGGCCAATTTTAGTGCTATGTGACAGAAGGAGCTGAAATTATTCCTATGAGAAAGCTCCTGGGGATGGCTGGAGTGGGATCCTTGGCAGAGGTGGGAGCTAAACCTCATTAGACATCAGAAAACCCAGAGGGACAGGAGGCTGCTCCCAGGGGCAGGAAGGGCCCAGATCAGAAAAAGGGTATTTTTAGACACCCAGTAATTCTTCTGTGATATGCAGATCCACGGGAAATCAGCTTTCAAAAGCCCTTCTGCTCATCTGCTGGGATATTTTAAAAGACTACTTCCTGTGGACATGTTTTTCCTTTAAGTCCCATTGCCATCATTTTCTCCTCAATTCTAAGAACCAAGGGAAAAGCCAGCACCAGCCCAAATTCCCCCTGTAGCCATGGGCACTGAAGAAAATGTCAAACTCCATGTTGGACACGTGTCAGCCCAAGCTCTTCAGAGGAAGACTCTGGATTTCCTTCTGTCTTGGAAAACCAAACATCCACACAATGTGAACAGCAGCTCCAGGGAGGAACGGGAACCTGAATTCCAACGTATTCACGGGGCTCCCCAGTTCCCAGATGGCCTCAGCAAATACAGAAATGACCCTGTAGGGTTTGTTTAGGAGCCAGATTGCTGATGGCAAACTTTCCCTGCCAGAACAGTCCGTGCCAAATTATCCCAGGACTTTACTCCCGTGTTAAGTTATGTACGCCAGGGAAGATAAGGAGAAACCTCGGGACAAAGCTGCAATTTGAGAAGCCCAGAGCACTGCTGACCTCCTCGCTCCCTCCTGCACCTCTGCATGTCCATCTCCAGCTTTCCTCTCCCTCCCAGGGGTTCCTGCAGGGCGGGTGGGGGGTGGAAAAACCACTGGCAAACTAATCCAGGAGTTCAGCAGCTGCCCCTGGCGTTTCAGAGTGTGACAGCTTTCAGGCCAGATGCCAAACGTGTCTTAGGTTTTAATCTCTCTCTCAGGTCACCTATCCCCTGTCAATCAAGCCCTGCTCCCGTGGGGGATGCTGGCACAGATGCCACCAGACAGGATGCACTGCCACTCTGGAAGATTAGCATCAGCCAGACCCCCCCCTCCTCCGGGCTTGCTCCTCTTTGGCCCCCCCAGCCCGACATCCTCCCACCTAAATCTGGCTTTGGGAGCACCTGCTGCAGGGTTTGGGATTTAGGGCTTCCCAGGAAGGGCTTTCCTGAGTGTGGTGGCAGCAGCTCCAGCCAGCCCCAGGGGCTGTTTGCAGTGACCTTGCTGGGACGGGAGCACTGCTGGTGTGTAAATAACTCCCTGCTGGAAGCCAAGAGAGCAGGGGGGGTCAGAAACCCCTGCCAGCTTTTCCTCCCCCCCAGCCTGTAGCACATCCAAGGCCAGAGCTGCAAAGCTGCTGGCACAGGCTCTCCCTGCTCCCCCAGCTCTGTGAGTCTCCTTCAAAGATCCATTTGCCATTTTTTTCCCTTTTTCCTTGTGCTTCCTCTGGCTGGAGCCAGTGCACAAGTGGGTGAATGTGTCCTGCACAGGGCCAGGGCATGCCCATGGTCATGGATCCAATGTAAATGCTTTATTCCTGTCCTGTGCAGCAGGGCATCCCTGTGCATACAGGTTTGGGGAAACCATTCCCACAGCCAGGATGAAAACTGGGAGTCACAGGTGTGAATGTCAATGGGAAGGGTAAAAATGGGATCCCACAGGTGTGAATGTCAATGACCAGGATACAAATGGGATCACACCTGTGAATGTCCATGGCCAGGACACAAATGGGATCACACACATGAATATCCATGGCCAGGACACAAATGGGATCACACACATGAATATCCATGGCCAGGACACAAATGGGATCACACACATGAATATCCATGGTCAGTTCTCTGTGCAGCACCACCACACACATGCAGTCCCTAAGCACAGCCTTTTATTCTGTCACCCACCTGCCTGTAATAAATAGTTACATGTCACACTACATGGCTTGCCTGCGACTGACAAAGGTCCTGCAAGGCAGGAGAAGCTATTATGGGAACAGATTGCTGGAATAAAATATTAAATTTCCACTTATCAATCTCTTTAATGCGCCATAACTCTCATAGAAGCATTCAGCCTTCTCCCTCTGAACAAATTGCCCTCCCCATCAGGGGGCTGAATCAGCCCTGCACTCTTCCTCTCTGGGGCCTGGAGGGAAGATTTTGGGTGGCAAAAGGGGGGAGAACAGGGAGACAATAGGGGGAAAAGCTGCTGCAGGATTTTCTCTGCATCAGCCTTCTGTGTTGTGGTTTTTTTTCTCCCAAGGCTGGCTGCTCACTAGATTGAACTCCATTTATTGCATGCAGCTCTTGAAAGAGGTTTCGTGGTCCACTGACAATCCCTAAATTGCCTGCAAGACCCAAACAAATGTACCTGTAATAGCTGAGTGAGGAGGGCTGAGCCCTCCCCAGCACCGGCCTAATCGCTCCTTAGGGAGAGCTGGATAAACATATTCAGATCCTATGAATTATTTAAGGATTTTTTTTTTTTTAATGTGGCCTGGCCTGTGGGGTTGGCTGTTAATCCCTCCCAGCAGGGCAGCTGTGGGTGTGCCCTTCATTCCCTCTCATTTAACCTCAACCCCACAGCCAGGGCCTTTGGGAACCAGCTGAGATTCCAGGCAGGCAGACACCAACCCAACCCCAGAAATCCTGCCAGCCCCCACTTCCTCTGCCAGCCCTGTGCTGGGGGAGCGTGAGAACCAGTCCTCTGAAAAAAACACCAGGAAAAGAGACAATTCCAAATCCCAGAGGGCTCCTCCTGCACAGCCCCTGGTCTCTAGAGGTGTCTGTGCCTGGTGTCCTGACACCTGCAGTGGTGTGGGGTGGTTGGGCAGGCAGAATGACAGCAAGAAACGGGCACAGAGGCTATGGAGGAATGGGAAGGGAGAGTCAAAGTCTTCTTCAGTCCCTGTCCCACCTCCTCGTCTGTGTCTGAGGGCTGAGCTTGGAGGATTTTAAGCTCTGCTCGCTGTTTCAAACGTGCCCCAATGTTCTGGACACTGAGTGGGATGGATTTCTATTGCCAAAGGGAGTCAGCTCAGTCTGTACCAGGCACTGCCCCAGGGACACTGAGGTGACAGCTCCTGTGGAATGGCCAGAGCTGATTTTGGCCATGACCTTGCCCTGGTTTTGTGTGGTTGGGCAGGGCTGGGCACAAAGGGCTTTGTTCTTCCAATGCCTTTCCCTGGCAAAAGAAACAGCCCCCAGAGAAATGCAGGAACAACTCAGCAGGCAGGGATCCAGGACAGGAGGTGTGAATGAAAGGCCTGCTACAGTGATAATGATCATAAATAAATACCGGGTAATTAGCATCTCATTAGCACATCCCATCCATTGACCTCCAAGCACTTGGATAGAGCAAGATTAGCCTGGTTTGCCCACGTTACAGAGAGGGGAGTTGAGGTGCTGAGGGTGCCAAACACAGAGTTATTGCTAATTTTAGCTGCCCCAGACTCAGCTCTAGGCTTGCTCAGCATTTTCCACCAGACAAAGCTGGTGGAGGGGGCTGGAGTTCCATCACTCTCAGGTCAGACAAGGACTGGGATGGCAGCAGAGGCTCTGCCTGCCTTGGGCAGGACAGAGGGAGAGGTAACAGCCCTGGGAGCCTGTCCTGTGTTGTCCATGCCTTGGCAGCCCCCAGTGCACCTCACTCCCCTCATTGCCCATCCTGGCCCGGGTGTTTGCAGCCCAGAGCTCACTGCAGCGTGCCTGTGCTCCGCCTCACTGCTCCCAGAGGCACTTCCAGCCCTCCTGAGACCCATCAGTCACTGCCTGATTACCCAAATTGCTCCTTTCACCCCCAAAAGAATAGGATAAATCTCCCTTTCCTGCTCTCAAAGCACTCACAGCCACTTTTCCCCCTTGGTGATGTCTCACAATGTCACTCTGACTTTCAGAAATCAGGCTATTGCCGTATGTTATTTCTTCTCTTGAAGCTATTTCTTGACATGACTTTCTCTCCCTGACACTACCTAAGTTTGCCCACACGTCTTTCCCTCCTCCTGTGGCCACACTGCTTTGCAGGCCGTCACATTCCTTCTGTCTCCTGTGACATCACAGCATCACTTCCCACTGCCTGCATCCTGGGATGTTCTTCCTTCCTGGAGCCCAGACAAAGCCCCTCAAGCACTCACAGGAATCCATGGCAGGCAGGTGAGCGAGTTCACAGAGCTCAAATGAAGAATCATGAGGATTGCCCAACACCAGAAGCACCAAACACCATCCTGAACAAGTGACTCATCCATCTCCTGCCTTTCTGGCAGTCCACATCCCCATCCTGCCCCTTGTTCTGATCAATATCTCCCTGATGTGTCTTTGCTGTTAACACAACGATCTCTCTGAATCCAAAGCAGAAGACAAGGGGGGAACAAATTGAGTCGGTGTAAGAAAGGAAAAGACCACGAGAGGAAAGGAGAGAAAAAAAAAAATCCAAAGCAAACCAGTGCAACACCAGTACAAAGCCAAGAACTCGGCTGCCCCACCTGCACCACGAGATTCCCAGCCCCGAAAGGAGACACTGGAGACTGAGGAGAGCTGGCAGATGTCAGCTGCTCACACCTTTGTGTCCCTCCCCACCCTCTTTCCCCCGTCCCAGGTGCTGTCCTACCTGTGACATTGACTTCCACCAGGCCCGAGCGTGTCCCGATGGCGTTGGTGGCCTCGCAGACGTAGGTGCCAGCCACGCTGTAGGACACGGGCCCTTTGAAGTAGATGGTGTTGTTCTGGATTTCCACACTCCCTGGCAGGGTCCCGTTTGGCCTGGGGGGGACAGAGACCGTGGCTGACCCCAGAGGTGACACCAATGTTTTGGGTCAGGTGAAGAAGCTGGAGGTGCTGGCTGGAAAATCCCCATTAATGTAGGCAGGAAAGGGACACAGCCTGACTCTGTTTTACCCCAATTTCCTGCCCATTTAACTCTCCTGATCAGCCAGTGTTAATTTCTATTCAAACTCAAGGACAGCAGTGTTGATTTAGAGCCCTGCCCATGTCAGAACAGTCAGGTAAGTGTGAAACTGGAATAATGCAAAAGTAAACCCAGAGATACAGAAAAAAAAAAAGAACAAAGGCAGATGAAAAAATAAAAAAAAAAAGCCCCTGTGTGTTAGGAAAAGACACACATGGCCTGGTTATTCTTAATTACTGAAGCAAAGTAAAGTAATTACTTCTCTTAGGCAATTAAAAATTACTCAAGTAATTCCTTCCCCTCCTCCCAACCCAAATGTGCACATATTGTCAGCAATTTGTAAGAAACAAAAGGGAATAACGGGGGTATAATTAGGATTGTAGAGAAGTGCCTAGATGCATGTATTTTGTGTATGTCTACATATACACTCATGTACAGAAAACACAGTTTTTCCAGCTGCATCAAGCCAATGACCCCAAGCTGATGGAAAAACACCTTAACTGTGGTCCTATAGAGCCCTGAACCTACAAAACCAAAAGGGTGCTGTGGGATTTCCAGGAGGCTGCTGCCTCCTCTGACAGCTCCCCTGGCTGCTGCTCAAACTCATCCAAATGGGAGGAGAAGAAAAGCACTGCTGGGTTTTACATTCCAGGCAAGAGCAAAACAGCAGCAGCCCCCAGGAAGGGGAGGAGGCACAGCAAGAGCCTCAAGTGACATTTCTTCTGCCTTGGGAGCATTTCTGCCTCTGAGGCTTTCTTGGAAATGTGAGGAACCCAGAGAGATCCTCAGAGTCTAAGTCAGAGTGGCAGAACCAACAGATGGAGAGAGCTGGGGATGGAGAACTAGGGAAAAAGGCAAGAAAAACAATCCTCTCCAGACTTTCACTTTGAGCATTTTGATCTGGGAAGTGGAATGAGAGAGAATGTGCTCCTTGCAAAGCCATGTTGAGAGCCTCTCTCCTGATGACAAATGCCAGCTGAAAAGAAGAAAGGATCCATTTGATCTTCCTCTTTTAAAGCTACATGAGTGCTTACAGAGAAGAAAGAACAGCAGAGAACCACATCAGGCTGTATCAATTCCCACCTGACTGCCCAGACACCCCTCACTCACTTTTCAAGTCCCTTTTCCAAAAGCTGGAAACCTGAGGACAAGGAATTGTTGCTGTTTAATGTCAGTCACGTGAGGGGCTGCTGGAGCTGATTCCAGGGAAAGGTTGTTCACATACAGACAAATTTTATGTTATTTTGTGCCCCTTCAAAGCAGGGAAATCCTGGGCTCTTTCCCAGCTCTGCTACTGAGGCTCTTGGTGGTGCTGGGCACATGAATCACCTTGTCACATCCCAGCTGCCTCACGTCACCAGGGCAGAAAATTATCCCAGTGAGGTGAGAACAGGAAGTTTTCCCTGGATATTGAGGCTGTGCTGTGCTGGCAGCCACCTCCACCACAGGCACAGGCTGTACCTTGGAGTGACACCTGTGACACTAATGGCACTGGGCCCTGAGTGACCAGAGGGTGAGTGAGGTGTCTGCAGAGACTCCTTGTCCCTGGTGGGAAGTGACATTTGCTGCTGGCAGCAGGGGCTCTGGGGACACTTACAGCTTCCACTCGTAGGTGTGAGCTGGGGGGTTGGCATCAGATTTGCAGATCAGCTTCACATCCTTGCGGTTCAGGTACCAGTTACCATCAAAGCCCTCGATGGTGACTTCTGGCTCATCTGCAGGGGAGGAGAGCGGGAGGGGAAAAGGACAGAGGAAAGGGTTGTGGGAAATGAAAGGGGAGGAAATGAAATGGGAAGAGATGAGGAGGCATGGGTGGGAAGAGGAGAGAGATTAAAAGAAGAGGAAAGGGTTGTGGAAAATGGAATAGGAAGAGATGAGAGGGTAGGAGTGGGAGAAGGAAAGATATTGCAAGGAGGGAAAGATGATGGGACAAGGAAAGTGAGGGAGTGCAAAAGAGAGAGAGAAGGGGAGCAAAAGGGACATGGCAGAGGCAGAGAAAGAAGGCAAGAAAAAGGGAAAACCCACAGTTATTCCAAATGATCCTTTCCATTTTCACTCTCACAAACAAGACCACAGCCCCTCCACCAGCCCAACGCCTCCCCCCACAAACCCCATTTTTTCCCAGAGCATCTCCCCCAGCCAGCCCTGAGCAGGGAGCCCTCCCAGCTGTTCCCAGGCCCCCTTACACTGCACGTTGAGGGTGATGCTGTCAGTGAACCTCTCCAGCTGGTAGTTGACCACGCACACGAGCTGCTGGCGGTGCGCCTCGCGGCTCGGCACCAGCCGGTACCGGCTGATCACCGTCACCGTGCCGTTGCTGTTCCGGATCTCCTGGAATTCTGCTTCCCCCTTCAGCTTCGTGTCCCAGGTGACCGTGCTGGGGGGTTTCCCGTTGGAGGAGGTGCAGGTGGCTACCAAGATCTTTTCTGTCCTGCCCGACTTGGCGATTAGTGGCCTCTTGGTGCCCTCCATCCAATTCGTGGGCTTGGCTGCAGGGGAGTGCAGAGAGGAGGAGAAAAGGGTGCAAAGGGATGGTTAGAAAACAATGCTGCTCTGTTTGCTACATCCCAAGAGCCATCTAACACCACTGAGCTTGTGGGGAGCCCAGAGCTGTGCAAATTGCCAGCAATAATTCCCATGTAATAGCTGCTTTATGGCAGTGCCTATGAGCCCTGCACCATCTACCTGCATCATTTGTGGGGAAACAATGGGGGAAGTGCCCAAAATGCACAGATATATGAAAGTGATCCTTTCCTCCCAGAGGTTTTTCTGTGTTAAAAAGGAACTGAAATCAGAGAGAAAATGACTCATGTAGACCTTGGGTGGGGTCTGTTCACTCACACCCCTGAGCTCCAGGGACGAGCTCTGCTTGAGTTTAGGATCAATCTGTTGTTTCTTCTCTCTTGACAGCCCCCAGCTCATTAAAACTCACCACTCCCACAGGGACCTGTCACTGTTACTGCACCTACATTAGGAGTGCAGGTGGAGGGAAAAGGGGAACTGAGACCTGGAAAGAAGAAGAGGTGTGACAGCTCAGCTGTCTCAGAACCACCTGCTCTGTGCTCCCTGCTCTTCACCTCTTCCCAGTCAATTTAAAAATCCATTCCAGGTACAATTGACACCCCAAATTTTCCCTGAGCCCCCAGGACGTGAATCTGAAGTTCCTCCAGCTCTGCTGGACTGGAAGTTCCCCCTGCAGAGCCTGCCCAGAGCCTTACCCAGCACGGTGAGGTTCAGCTGCCCTTCCCGGTTGCCAGTTGGGAAAGTGGCAAACTCACAGATGTAAACCCCCTCATCCTCCAGCTCCAGCCGGGACAGCTGGATGGTGCCATCCTTGAAGGAAGGGTTCCGGAAAATCACCCTCTCCTTGTAGGGGGACAGGATGGACACGCCCATGGCGGGGTTGTAGATGGCCACATTCTGCTTGGTGCCGTTGGTGGCCTTCTGCCACGTCACCTGCGTGATCTTCACATTGGGCAGCGGGTTGGTGAAGCTGCAGTGCAGCACCACGTCCGTGCCAATGAACCCCGACACCGAGTCATTGACCAAGACAGTCTGAGCTTGCAGCCCTGCAACGAAAAGGCAACATGTGAACACTTGGGTACTTCCCACAGGAGGTGTGGTTATTGGGCATCAGGCTCAGGAATTCCTCTATTTATTCCTCTTATTGTTTCTTATTGGCGTGGCTGATACAAGAGCAATTTGTGGCTACAGGCACCTTCTGCATCCACCTGCAGCTTCATTCTTGGTCGTCAACACCTTCCTCCCACTATGACCAGCCCAGCCCAGAGCTCATCATCATCATCACCCAAAGCACAGGTCTGGATCAATAACACCTTCCTCCCACTATGACCAGCCCAGCTTAGGGCTCATCATCATCATCACCCAAAGTACAAGGCTGTGTCAATAACACCTTCACCCTTTCGTTTTCAGCTCCGGGTGACACTGAATCAGTTCTGGTAAATATGCAGGGCATGTGTGTCTGCAGGCATGTGAAAGCCCTGATGTTTATCAGCACAGGACATCCCAACACATGCTAACACACACTCAGACATCCATTTAATCCCATTGGAGCTGCAGCAGTAATTAGAGGAGCTGCAAAGACTCAGCCCTGTTTCAGGGCAGCAATAATTCCCACACAAGAACGGCTTTAAGGCACTGCCTCTACACCCTGCATGATCTCCCTGTATCATCCAGATTGTTTCTGTGGGCTTTTTATAAGCCCAGAAGTGGCTGAATTTAGGAACCTTCCACCTTGATTTTGTGGAAGGTGCTCATGAAAAGTGGGAGCTGCAGTTCATGACAGCTTTTCTGTCTCAGTTGATTCCTCCCCTGACAGATGGAGAAAAGTATCTCCCACCAGACTGACCCTGAAATTCATCTTTGCTGCCACTGTGTCTTTTCCTAATCTGTGTGTTTAGAGATAATGCTCTGGTAATTACACAGCCAGTATTTGTATGATAAATACAATAGAGAGGCAAGGTGGTAAGAACGAGAAAAGCGGGTTTTGCTCCCTGCTTCTGGGCCAATCTGTGATTGGATGGATTCTGGGAACCAGGGAGGAAAGGGAAGAAAGGGATCATAAAAAAAAAGAGATGCACAGAGAGTGAGGAACACGAAAAAGTGGTGGAACAGAGAGAGGGGCTGGGGAAAGAAAAATGCAGAGCAAGAGAAACCAGACAGCACCTCCTAACAGAAATGTCACCCTACTCTGTTCTTCCAGGGATGAATGGCTCCCTGTCCAAGGCTAAAATGAACTCCTCAGTGTTGGTCCCCGTGGCAGATGTGCCCTGGGACTTCTCCAAGAGTCTCCTTCCTGCAGTTTCACACACACACAAGTGCAGGCACACAAAACTCTCCTCCACCCACACTCCACATTGCCCCCTCACTCCCTGCCTGCTGTTCCCAACCTTATCCCAATCCCCACACCTCATCCACGCCTCTTCTTTCTCCCTTCTCCTTCCTGTGACCCTGAGGACAAGCCCCAACAACCCCCCCTGGCCACAAGACGCCACCAGCTGACCACAGCCATCAGCAGTTCCGACCGAAACTCGGCCTCCAGAGCTTTGTGTGAACTTGCCCCCTGCTCCCCGAGCCAAGCCCCACACCCCAGCACTGCAGCTGGGTGCTCAGGAATGTTTTCCAGAGCTTCTCACAGCCACAGCAAAGCGCTGGTGCCCTCATGTGCCTGCACACACGAAGCCACTGCATCCTCTGGGGCTGGCAGGGTGCACCCTTCCCCTGCCAGCACAGCCAGGGACATTTTCCCCACGGTTTTCCCTCCACAAAGCAGAGGGTAGGGATGCCCCCACTCTGGGAAAGTCACATCTGGACCATGTTTCCCCTCTGGAGAAGGCAGCAGGACACTGAAGGACTTTTGTGCCACCAGTGCCCACAACATCCTCCCTGAAGAAACGAGGGCACAGGCTGGGTTTAGATGAGGCCACGCTGGGATCTGAGGGAAGAATGGGTGGACAGGGGAGGGGGAGATGTCTCCAGCACGCTGTGCAGCATATGCTGCTCCTTCCACCCCGGAGGTGAGAGAGCCTCTTGCAGCATTGCCCACACCCGCCGAGGTGAGGAACAGCTTTGCCAAGCAGTCTGGCTCAGAAGGCTCCAGAGCCTCCCAGAGCGTGTGGGAGCTTGCTGGGGAGCACTTCAATCACGTACCCGGGCCTTGGGAACGGCCCAGCCCGGGTGGGTGTGCTCAGCTCTCCCTCCTTCTCCCAGGGCTGGGGGAGTCATCAGCGCCTCTTGCACCAAGGGCTTGTGCCCCCAGCAGCTCTGCCTGGGGCTGGCTGCTGGCACAGCTGGCTGTGCTCCCCACAACAGCTGGCTGTGCTCCCCACAACAGCTGGCTGTGCTCCCCACAAGCTCCCTGACCCCCCATGGGCCCCCTTTGACACCCCAACCAAGTGGCCCCAAACGCCACCACAGGCTCCTCGCGGTGCCCGGCAGCAGCAGAGGAGCCAAACTGCAGAGAGGAGAGGGTGCAAGGCCACCAGCTCCTCCCCAGGCCACCCCTGCAGGGCTGGCAGTCCCCCGTGGCACTGGATGAGCACTGCCAGGCTGAAGGCTGCCACTGATGGGCAGCCGAGATGTGCCCCTGGAATGAAGATAAAGTCAATCCAGCTACAGCCATTCCAGCAGGGAATGTGATGGATGGCACAGGGGAGGTCAGTCCAGTCCCTCACTCCATCCATCATTACTGTGCCCTTCCTTTATGCTGTGATTTCCCTGCAGATTAATGAACTGACCCTTTTAAAAATCAAGTTATTTATCTTGACCTTGAGCAGCAGCAACAATTCCCAGTCCTACCCTCCCCCTGCCATGGGATCCATGCATCAATACAGGCTGGGCTTGGACATAAACTGGAGAAAAAGTGGATTTTGGAGCTGATAAACCTGATCCTGAACCTGGAATGGTCCTGCAGAGCCCTCCAGTGCCCAGGTGTAAAGAGCCAGACTTCTGACCAGGGAAAAGGCTGGTGCCAGTTGAGTGAGGACAGTTTGCCAACAACCAAATGCTGCCAAAGCTGGGATTCAGGCCCTTACACGCAGCAGCTTTGACAAAAACACATTCCAAACTTTCTCGAGGCTCCAGGGGAAAAGGGAAAACAAAAAAATAACACCCGGCAGAAGGAATAACAAAACAAAACAAACAAAAAAACACCCTGAAAAACCCCAAACACAGCGCGGAAATCGCGTTTCCTTTCCAGGTGACTGAACAACTCTTTTGCAAGACAGGAAAAACTCTTTCTGTTCCACTCCTCCAAGCCTTAAATCAGGAAAATAACGCACCCAACTCTGCTCCAGGAGCACCCACACCTCAGTGCAGTGGGACAGATGGAGGAAAGGGGTTTGAGAATTTGCTGGATCAGCTTCCCATCCTAAATCAGAAGGCAGAGGGCAAACGTGGCTGCTGGCACGCTCTGGGGAGCGCTTGTTTGCAAGGTGACTGAGCTGGGCTGGCGAGCCTTCCCTCACCCCGTTACATACTCAATAATTCATCAGGGCAAATGCATGGATAATTGATGGCAATGAGCACGCACGGCCGGCAGAGGAGGAGAAAATAAAATCACTAATCAGCCTCTGGAGAGGTTTGAACATATTCAACTGGATGTGTGTGTGTGTGTGTGTGTGTGTGTGTGTGTGTGAAGTGCTGGGATTCACTGCGTTTCTCCTTTGCTGAATGATCTGTGTGGTTGGTAGGGCAGGGAAAAAGCTTGGGATGAATCCTGCTGTTTTCACAGCCCAGATCTCCCAGCGCCCACCAATCCGTGCTGACACCTCCCAGGGGCAGCCAGCACCTCAGCAAGGATTAGCTGGATAGGTTGCAGCTTGCCCATTTGCGTTTTATTCATTAGTTTTGCGGTGTTATTTTTTGTCAGGGACCAAAAAGGGCCCAGCCGTGTGCCAAAGACATGTAGGTGCCAAGAGCTCATTAGTGCAGACCTTGGAGATCCTACTCCTCCAGCTTGGCCTCTGAAGTGGTTTGTGTCGATGCCTTTCCCCACGATCCCAAGCCCAGATATCCACCGAGCCCTCGGGGGGCACCGTGCACGGCTCGGGGTGCCCTGGGGCACACGGGCTGGGAGGGAAGGGCTGCACTCCCTGGGTGTCAGGGGACAGAGCAGAAGTGGCAGAGGGTGGCTCTTGGACCTTTCTCCTAAAAGCCCAGGAGGGGCTGTTCCAGTGAGACTCCCACACTCGCAAATCAGGTTCTTGCTCCCCCGTATAGAAAGCTCTGGAAATGATCTCCAGGCTCTGGCTGAGCTCTGTCACAACCTCACTCAATGCCTCTTTGTTAAGAGCCATGTGAACTCCACTCTGCTTTGCACAACCTTGCCTCTGCTGAGCCTCTCACCGGTTTCTCTCCCTCCTGTTCCCTGATACTCATCTCCCCCCAAGGGCACTGAAACAGCCCTTGGCAGGAGTGTGATGAGCCACCCTTTGGTGTGGCAATATCATGACTGATGCAGATGTCACAGGGATGGCTCCTGACAGCCTTAGTCACAGCAGCTGGGATCTTACACAAGGACAAATCAATGCACCACACTTCAACCTGCACAAACTCCCACAAAAAGCACCTGATTTTGTGACAGCACCGTGGCCATGGGCAATGATGTGCCATCCGTGATCCTGTATCTCGCACAGACACTGAAAATTTTCCCTGAAGGAAAACTGGGATGGAACAGGAGCCCAAAACCTTCCATTTGGTGGCACTTAAAAATTTCTCTCCTGGTGTTTCTGAACTCATCTTTCCAAAGGAAAACAAGGTCTGAAATGCAACTCCTGTAGGGCAGAGCCTCCAACAGCCCAAAAGGAACACGCCAGGTGTGTGTGGCAGGGTGGGAAACACGGGTAAGAAGATCCTAAATCCCAGCAGGGGAATTTCAGGTGGCAAGAAGCAAAGGTGTGAGGTGGCACTTGGCCAAGAAGTTGGGGTTAGTACCTCTGCTCTTGCCAGGGAGGCTTTGCATTGATTGCCAGGCATTTAAATCAGGATTCTGCTGCTCTTCCAAGAGCACAGGGCCTGCCTCGCCCTGCTGGGAGCCCGTTGCAATGAA